CATAAGAGAGCATGGGGGTATCATGACAGATTTAGCTTTGACGGTCCACTATTTGCTCCTTTTTCCTAAGTGAAATAGAAATGTTCCAAAAAAAAACATGCCTTTCTGAAATCCAAAAGAGACAGTAGAGAAGGTATTAATTTTGTCATTCAACAACATGACATTCAACGTGCCAAGAGTTGACAATTTACAAATTAAAGTCAGAGTCTGTGCACTCAAGGCTGATCAAATGAGAAAGGAAGTCTACTATACAGATAACACATACAGAGTTATAACACTTATGAACTTGAGAAATGCACTAAAAAAAGTGATGATAACACACAATAATAATAAAAACAATAGTGATAATAATAATGCAGCTAATATATATCGAACCATTGTTGTTATAGGCATAGTGTTAAGTTCTTTTCTAGACAATTGAATTTAACCCTTCACATAGTATTAAGATACATCTACACTTATTGTCAACATTTTCCACATCTTAACTGACAGGCAGAGATGGGTTAAAACAGCTTGTCTGAAGTCATAGCCAGCAAGTGGCGGAGGAGAACAGCAGCACCAGAGACATCATTTCACATTGGGAAGGAAAATATTTAAAAGCACCCAAGACTGTGGGTGTGTAGAATGGATCATGGTTCTCACTGGCTGGAACCTGGAGTGGGTAGACGAAAATGGCATTGGAGAGAGACGGGAGGGAGTCAGGAAGCAGGGGACATGGGCAGCCTGTGGTGACGCTAAGGAGCTGGCACGCTTTGTTTGGAGCCACTGTAGAGTTTTAAGCATGAAGGAAAAATCACATGGGCATTCTGGTTTTGCAGCCGTATTCTCCCCAGTGGAGATGGAAGTTCTTTGCTCTTTCTTGTTTCCTCAGGCAAAGGAGGTATTTCAGAGGTTCCTGGAGTCACAGGCAGCCATAGAGAAATCCATCCTGCAGTCAGACAAAGCGCTCACTGATGGGGAGAAGGCCATAGCAGGTAAGGGACTGGTCTGGGCTCACAATGGGCAGGTAGGTTTCTGCAGTGCCCTTTAACAGGTGTGAGAGCAAAACCTTCCTGAAACCAGGAACTTCCTCTCCTGTGGAACAGATTCTGCTAAATCTTGAAACCACAAGGGGAGTTGTAGTTGTACGTCAGCCAGGCAGGGCCTTTGCCATCACATTCTGCAGTGTGCTCATGATGGTGTGGACACGGGGGAATTCAGAGATTTCCCACCTGCCCTTCCGGTTTGGTTTGGTGTCCTTCTCCTTCAGGAGGGTAAGTGTCAGTCCTCACTTAATTTTCCTCCCTCTCTAAAACCTCCCTGGGGCAGAGGCGCGGGCCCGGAAGCAGGCAGCTGAGAAGGAACAGGAGCTGCTGAAACAGCAAATGCAGGAGCAGCAGCTGCAGATGGAAGCACAAGAGAGGAGTCTCCAGGAAAATATAGACCAACTGAAAGAGAAGCTGGAGAGGGAAAGAGAAAACATAATAAGAGAGCAGAATATGATTTTTCCCCATGAACTGAAGGTAAGTCTCTCCGTGACCTTAGCAATGCTAGATGGCCATTGTCCTGGTACCTCAGGTGGGGTGGGGGAAGGTTACAGCAAGACCATGGAAGGAAGCACGATTGCCATTTACAGCTTGTGCTTTATTAAGATGCTGAATCCTTTCTTCCTCCTCCTCCTGCTCCTCCTCCTCCTCGTCTTCTCCTTCTTCCTCCTGCTCCTCCTCTTTTTTCTCCTCCTTCAAAGCGTTTGAATTCATAGACTCTTGGGGAAAGCATGCCCCTCCCCACCCCAAGTCTTTGGAGAATATGAATAGGGTTTGAACTCTTATTCTGGGGGATTTTAAATTGATTAAACACATATTCCAATCATGTGTATCTCATATGAGCAGCAACTGGTTTGCTTTTTCAAGGTCATCTCCAATTATTAGGAACCCTACTACCACTGAAAGACCCTGAGATAGATCTATGTGGACAATAAATGATCAGAAATGTCCAGACTTCAAAATACAGGGAAGTTACAGCTTCTAAGCTTGCTGAATTGTCCCCAAATGTGGGTAGTTTATCCAAGTTATCATAGGGCATAAGTAGAATTCTGATTGCCTATGTGGACATGTTTATAACAGATTTCTAGAACAGCTTGTAAGTTCCTGTTATTTCTAAAATTTGGTTAATTGCATTATCCCAGTAGGACTGAAAATTAGTGCCTGCAGACCAAGGCTACTTCTCAACTGGTGTTTTTACTGGAACATGTTACATTCGTCCTAAAGTCAGGCTTCGCATTCTTGCAAAACCTTAATGATTTGTGAATGTTAATAAGGCTGTGAACTATGCTTCCGCTCAACGTTCAGGCTCTAGGCATGGCATATTTCTTGTCCAAAATTCTCCAGATTTTTGAGAGAGGACAATTTTAGTAGTAAAACCAAGGTACTTTGGCCAAGTTCTTAAATATAAAATGCAATTCTTAGAAAATTGGTTATTTTTAATGTTTTTTTTCCTTCCTCACTTTTTTTTTTTAGGTTCAAAGCAATCTGCTCAATGAAGGATTTAGAAAGGAATCAGAAGAAATGAATGCAGCGATAAGTCATTTGAAAAGTATGATTGACAGTACTCAAAATGGTGATACTCCCTCGATAGCACAAACCTTCGACAAATTTGCCGATGAGCTCACTTTAATATTTTCTATTCATGCTAAACTTCTTGGCAATGCTGTGAGACGCATGAGCTCACTACTTAAAGAAAAATAGTTCTCCTTTTAAAGAAATTATATGGATACATGCTCTGTCCTATTTTTGGTGTGTATGCTTTTTGCTCTCATTCAGCCAAATTTTAAACATAAAAAGTGCCTATAGAGGATTTAATGCCTGGCCCACATTAGGTAGAATAAATGGACATACATTTTTATATAGCACATACACTTTTAGGAAATATACATGTGAAAAATAACACACACACACACACACACACACACACACACACACAGAGGCAATCAGTCAATTGAGGCTTCGCTTTAAATGACCAAAGGTTGAAAACTACTTAAATATTCATTCATATAAACCGGTAATATAAATTTAGCATGTACATATACTGGAATACTATGTAGCCAGTAAATAAATTGAGAGTGCAGCTCTATTTTTACAAATATAGAACAATCTTGAAATATCATAAAGTGAACACAAGATGTGTATAATATGTTCACTGTAAAAAAATGTAATTATTGTGTGCAAACATACATATGTGCACATAGAATATATCTGGGAAGATTTATTGGAAACTAGTGTCCTTGGTTACTTCTGGGGAGAACTCAGTGTCATCAGGGTGGAAGAGAGCACACTTTCTATTACATACTCTATTTTTTGAATCTTGTAAATAAAACTTATATTACCATTTCACAAATAAATAAATAACAATAAATATAAAGTATNTATAGTTTGAAATCAAATAGCATGATACCTCCAACTTTGTTCTTCTTAAGATTGCTTTGGCTATTCATGGTCTTTTGTGGTTCCACATAAATTTTAGGAATATTTGTTCTAGCTTGGTAAAAATCCGATTGGTATTTTATAGAGATTGCATTGAATCTGTATATTGCTTTGGCCATTTGACATTATAATAATATTAATTCTCCCAATCCATGAATACTGTATATCCTGCCATTTATTTGTATGTACTTCAATTTCTGTCATCAATCTTATAGTTTTCAGAGTAGAGGTTTTTTCTTTCTTTGGTTAAATTTCTTCCTAGGTATTTTATTCTTTTATTTATTTTATTTTATTTTGTTTCATTTTAGCTGAGTCATCCTGCCACCTGTTGGCAGCTCAGCGGCAGCTCAGCTTGAGCCAGGAATTGAACCGGTGACCCTGTTACTCAGAGCCACACTGTTGAGCGAGCTCTTATCCAACTGAGCCTGTCAGCTGGCCCCTAAGTATTTTATTCTTTCTGATGCAATTGTAAATGGGATTGCTTTCTTAATTTCTGTTTCTGATAGTTTGATATTGGTATACAAAGATGCAACTGATTTCTGAATATTAATTTTGCCTCCTGCTACTTTACTGAATTCATTTGTTAGTGCTAATAGTTCTTTTTTTGTGGAATCTTTAAGGTTTTCTATATGTAGTATGTCATATGCTAAAGGTGGCAACATGGATACTTTTGAACACTTACATGAGGGGTACAGAAATTGAGAGGCCTTCTTGTTATTCTTCACTGAATTTTACTTATATATATAGTTTTTGTTGACTTAAATAGACATCCATTTTTTGATATTGATGCACATTTCTATTTTGAAAAACAAATCAATCTCCCAGTTACTCGATTTTTCTTCACACAGGATGGTTCTTCCATTTTGTGGCCAAAGGATTTTGATGACTTCTGAAAAAGGAGAAAAATCAAAAACTGTTTCCCTTCTGGAACTTACAACTCCTTCTGTCCCTTGAATATCATAAATGGTTCTATAGATATTGCATTTCATCGGTCTGTCGTATGTCAAACCAAATTAGCAATTTAAAAACTCAAGTTTTGATGAATAGTTGTCATATTCTATAGCTGTTCTCAACAACTAAGACCATGAGACAGAAAAGATGTATGAAATCTGATGTAACAATTCATGGCTTGTGTTCCTTTGGTCATTCTAGAACTAGGTTCTTCCTCATCATCAGTCTCACTGCCTGCTTTATAGCTGGTTAGGCCTTAGGACTTGGGAGAGGACTAGGATGAGGTGATGACTTTGCTTCCTGGTGATAATGATCCCCGCATTGGGTAGAGCCACTCTACTGCGTTCGTTATACGATGTGAGTGTGCTGTGGTGGCAACGTCTAATCTGAGCTCCTCACAGCATTGGTATCCCTTTGGCCCTAATAGACATTCATAGTAAGAGTAGAACCAAAAGTACATAAATTTTTCATTGCTGGGCTTTGCCTATACATACTGTGCCAGAAACAAAGCAGGAAACAGCATTGTAAGATGATGGGTGCTTTGGATAACTGAGTCAGAGAATAAATTTGCAATCTTATTTCTACCAGGAGACTCTTCTAGGTTGGCAGGTTGCTTGCCATGGCATCTGGACCCATCATGATGACCCCCATTTGTCTGGTGGAAAACAACAATGAGCAGCTGTCAGTGAACCAGGAAGCTCTGCAGATTCTTGACAAGATTTCTCAGCCAGTGGTGGTCGTGGCCATTGTAGGACTATATCGTACAGGCAAATCCTACCTGATGAATCGTCTTGCAGGACACAACCATGGTGAGTGTTGTTCAGACAAGGGCCAATCTGTGACTCTAGCTACATCACAGCTTTTGGTTTTCTTCCCTGGTCACATGAAGGGAGAACCAAACTCCTCTTGATACACCAACCTTCTACTTCTAATTCTCACCACTAAATTACTACCTCAATGTAGTCTGTTACCATATTTCTTGTTTTATTCCTGTTGATGAAAATCTCCCCTACTAATGCTCAGATTTCTATCATCTTTTACTTGTGTAAGCACTGGGCTCTTGCAATTATATTTTGCTTTCTCTATGGAATATTCCCAGCAACATATAAAGATGTTTGACTATCATCTTAACAATTCTTTGCGAGTTCACATACCATGACTACTAACTATCCACCCCCCATTTTTTTTATTATGTTGACTGTAAATAAATACCTCAATTTTTTCCCCCACCTTTTTCCTTTAGATGTTTCTCCTCTATCCACTTGTATCTGGCTTTGAACTTGACCATTCTTTCAAAATGCTCTTATTATTTTTATCAGTGACTTACGTTATGTCTGGTTCATGGATGTCTCTTGCCTCCATCTTAAGACCTTGCTGGGTATGATTCTCACAGTTAACATTCCCTCATCCATCAAATAGACAACACACAAAGCAGGGCATTCTTACAAAAGAGAGAAAACACTGTCTTGTATGCTGGAGTACTTATATTCCAACAACCTGACTTTGTAGCTCCTTGGCTGCTTAGATTCTGTTGTGTCTCCCCTTTCATTATAGGTTTCCCTCTGGGCTCCACGGTGCAGTCTGAAACCAAGGGCATCTGGATGTGGTGTGTGCCTCACCCTTCTAAGCCTAACCACACCCTGGTCCTTCTGGACACCGAGGGCCTTGGTGATGTGGAAAAGGTAAGGCAGAGAGTCACAGGTAAGTCCTTTTAAATCGGGGTATTCTCTTTATGATACTTTAAAACTTAACTGCTTGGTCTATCTGTGAAATCTGGAAATCCAAGTATATATGAGCCATATTTTGATTTATTTGATTCTCATTTTTGTGGTAAGGTGTCATGGTATATTGAGTAAAATTTTATTTTATTTCTTGGCACTGGGTGAATGATTTGACTCAATTAAATAAATAACTGTTGAGCACCCGATTCCCAGGTCTCTGGATTAGTACTGTAAATATTAGTGATCAAAACAAAAGCCCAGCCCTCAAAGAGTCTGCAGTCCTATGGTGAAGTTCATCAAGTACTCAAAGAGCATTCTAGAAGTCTTTGACACACTTTCAGAAGTGTTGATTCTATAAAAGTATGTGTTTGTCCTACACCATCATTTTTAGATGGAGTTTTGATACTTCAGCTTTCTACTGATGTGTGAAATGAATTATTTCTCCTTTTCTGCCTTAGTTTGAGACTTATTTGTAAATATTGGGTTGTCGGAAAAGTCATGATGCATTTTTGCATAGAAAACATAGAAAAAATATGTCATGACTTTTTAAAATTTTTTTAATTTTTAATTTTTTTTTTTTAGCTGAGCCATCCTGCCACCTGTTGGCAGCTCAGCGGCTGCTCAGCTTGGGCTGGGACTTGAACTGCTGTTGCTCAGAGCTCAAACTCTTGAGCGAGCTCTTAACCAACTGAGCCACTCAAGCGGCCCTGTCATGATTCTTGTAACAACCCAATAATACTTAAATTTCTATATCTGTCTAATTCTACCAGAAAAAAAAAGACTCAGAAATTGTGTTTATAGTTAAATACATATATCAAACAATGATACAGTCTTGCTGTCTGAATAATTTATTGTTTCTCAGACGTGCTACTTCTCCTTATCTAATTGATTATTTAAAAAAATATTTGGTTTGGAAACTAAAAAAACAAATTGACATTTCTCCCCCAAACTTTCTTAGTGAGTCTTGTAGAAATAAATCCCAGTTTTTTACATTTTCTCTAACAAAGAGCTTTAGACACGGTTTATAAGAGAAATAGCTTCTGGGTTGTGCCATTATTTAGTGCTGTAAGTTACAACAACAAATTAGCTTGGCCTTTAACCTCCCTGGCAGTCTGATTATGTCAGTAATTTTGTACCCAAAGCGGTCGGTACATTGTTTTGTATGGAAATTTGTTGTTTTATATTGTAGGCCTGTAATTCTTAGGAATTACTCACTTAAATCTGTCCAAACAAGAGTCTAGTAGGCAGCCCAGGGATGATAAAGTTTGAAACACAAATTCATAAATTATAATATAATAAATAATTATAAAAAAATAATATAATTTTATTCAATAATGTAATCAAACCACCGCTTCTGGCAGTGAAAATTAACCCCGAGCCACACTCGGATTACTGCCAAGGTAGTTAAGGTCTTACATCTGGTTGTAGTAGGCTCAATATTCAGCCTTTACTTAGTGACCTACCCTCTGCTCACATGAAATCAAATAACTCTACTTTTATTGCAAAGACCCCTGTATTCTGCCATTTCTACCATTGCTTCTGTGGGTCTTTCTACCTGCAGGACTCTTCACCAAGTCCACCAATTCTTTAACACTCAGCTAAAGACTTTGAGGAAGACTTCATATCATGTACTTTTTTCAACCTGCTTTCAGAGCTTTGTTCTTCCTTAATGGACTTCTAAATTTTAATTTAATATTATAGCTATACATTCCACTGAGTATAAACATTATTAAGATGTAAGCTCCTTATAGATGTCGTCATCTTTGCTTCGTTCATTGTTCATTGTTATAGATCATTGTCATGACTTTAAAAGAGTCATCTTGAAAGTGATATTTGTAATTTTAAACTGTTTTTTAAATTCAAGAAAAGTGAAAACATTCAGTAGCTTCCTGTAAACATTGGTTGAATACATCCCCATTATGTCAATCACAGTACATTTTGTATGGCACATGACCAAACAAATATGTGTAGAATATGTGTTAGTACCCTTCATTGCACACCAGGTACTGCATTGTTTTTCTAAATATGTTAGTTTATTTCATCCAACTGAATAAAAAGAAAACCCTGTGAAGATTACAATTTTTTTATATATGAAAAAATTGCAGCCACAGAAATGTCTTTGTATGTCAAAGCTGATATCCGTATTTATGTCTGTCTTCAAACTTACCTCTTTGCATAGTGAGTACGTAAGCTGAAATTATAAATGGGAGACTGATAGAATTAGTGTCTGAATGAATCTCTGTGGGGAAATCTCCTAAATGTCTTACTTGGGTGTTCTTTCTAGGGCGACCCCAAGAATGACTCGTGGATCTTTGCACTGGCCGTGCTTGTGTGTAGCAGCTTTGTCTACAATAGCATGAACACCATCAACCACCAGGCCCTGGAGCAGCTGCAGTATCCTTCCAGGAACAAAACTCCCTGGATCATTGAGCCTATCTATAGTTTTGGAGATCGAGGCAGGTTCTCATTTCCTGTCATTTAGTTGCCTTTGCTGAAGCAGAAGAACCCAGGGAAAAGGGAGTGTTTATAATAATTTTTTGTGAGAGAAATGTGGGATTTGTGAGAAGTTCCTTTTCCTTAGCCATGTAGTTATGTGACAGAGCTGGCAGAACTTATAAGGGCAAAGTCCTCCCTTACCCCGAAAGGAGTAGAAGATTCCACAGAGTTTGTGAGTTTCTTTCCAGACTTTATCTGGACTGTACGGGATTTCACCCTGGACCTGAAGTTAAATGGTTACCCCATCACTGAAGATGAGTACCTGGAGAATGCCTTGAAGCTGATTCCAGGTATCTGAGGATGGCCTGGGCAGTGGATGGTCCAATAGAGTGTGGGAGGTACCAAACACTGTCCATCGTCTCTGGCGTTGCATTGTATTTGAGAGTAGATTGAAGCCTGTAGAAATAGTGATGGGAAGATGGGTTGAAAAGCTCTAAGGACTGGAGTTCATATAAGGAAAGCAGAGCCTACGGTAGAGTATAACTATTCAAAACCAATTTGTTGTTCATATAATTTAGCATCCAGCTTTGACTTAGAAAACAGTGGGTACCAAAACCTTCAAAAGACTAGACAGTTGCGTTCCCTATTTTGACTTCTGCTTTGTTGTGTTGTGGAAAACAACTGACCAGATACTTGCTGGCATGAAATTGCAATGAAAATTCTATATAATAAAAAAAAATCTTGTCTACAAATAGATATTATACTTTAGAAATAAGGATATAACTTTTTATTGACTGTATAGATACACCATGTACAAAGATGGCTTTATGTTTTAAATGAACCTGAAGAAGTATATGTCTTTTCAACCTACACTTTTGCAATATTTCTAATAATTATGAGAACATTTACTTATTTCCTATATCATAGCTTTCTAAGATTTTCCCTATGTTTACCCATGCTATAATTTCTAAATTATAAATAATGTCATTTATTTATGTGGGTTACATTTATGTTGGGGTGTATCTGATGAAATTTTGAGAGAAATATCATGTGCAATTTATTCATTCTTGTTTTCATGTTTCTATTTATGCTTTCTCAAAACACTTCATGAGAAATTGGTTAGGCAGAAGAGCAACACTGTCAAATCATATATAGTTCTTTACTTGAAAGAATATAGAGATTAGTGGTGACATCTTAAAATTACATTTTAGTCTTATTTACCTTTCAGAGGATTTTGCTAAAAAAAAAAAAAGCTAATGCTTACACCAGATTTTTAGCATAAAAACAGTGCTCCTTAAATAATCAGGGTGTCATTCCTAATATTGCTCCTTTGTCCCTTGTTTATTGATCTTCCTTTTGTCCCACAACTCAATTCCTACATGGGATCAAGTAGACCAAAATTTTACATTTGAACTTTTCTGTTAGTCAATCATTCAGTAAATAATAGAGACAATAGACTACCATGTTTAAACCTGAAGATAACAGCAATAGGTTTCTTATTACCATTTTATATCTCTTGAAATTTCTAACCAGAATTGTATTATTGATAAGTTAGACGTTTTAAGAAGCATTGGATCTTTACACTACAGGAATTATAAATAGAGATTCTATTTATAAATGACAAAGATGCCAAAACCCCTACCATAAAAGTCTTTACGTTCCTTGCCCTCAGACTGTTGCTACTATAATCTCTGGATTTTTTTTTTCTTCTTTAGGCAGAAATCCCAAAATCCAAATGTCCAATCTTCCTAGAGAGTGCATCCGGCGATTCTTCCCCAAACGGAAGTGTTTTGTCTTTGACCGCCCAACAAATGACAAAGAAATCCTGGCCAATATTGAGAATGTGACAGAAACACAACTAGATCCTGAATTCCAGGAACAAACAAAAAACTTCTGTTCTTATATCTTCAACCAGGCGAGGACTAAGACCCTCAGAGAGGGAATCAATGTCAATGGGAAACGTGAGTCTCCTTTTCACATGTCTGTGAGGCCTAATACATGTTGAATATAGTACATGATGTGTTTTCCAGGATTTCTGTTGATTCTATACAGAATTATGGGTCTATGGATATTCATCGTTCATGCAGAAAAGTGTATATTTATTACACTTTGAGGGGCTTATAAACCTTCTTCAAAATTTCAATCTTTATCAGTAACACCTGAAGCTTCCATATATGTGAAAAAATCCTTTACTGATAATACTTCACTACTGGGTATAATAACAGAATATAATATTTTCTCAAGGGAAATCCTTTATAATGAATGTGATTTGCAAGGAGAATACAAAAGCTATTTTGAGAATTTAAAGCTGTCTAATAATAAATATTAGCCCATAAATCCCTGAAAATTCATTGGAAGCCTCAGAAGTAGGAATAAATATACCTCATTTACCATGCCTCATGTAAACAATTTTTCTTCTAATATCTTTAATGTAACATTATGTTTTCTAGATACCATTTATTGCATTAGATGAAGGTAGGTATTTACTTTCTTTAAACTTGTGGCCTAAAGAAGCATAAAATTGAGGAGTCACTAGGAAAATGAAGGTGATGATAGTTGAAGGAGTAGGGTGTGTGTGAGAAAGACAGAGAGAGATAGAGAGAGAGGGAGAGAGATATATTTAGAAATGTAGTCTTAGAGTATTGTATCCTATTGAGTGATAACTTGATATTTATCCTCCAAATTTCCTGGCTTATTCAGGGCTGGGGACTCTGGTGGTGACCTATGTGAAAGCCATCAATAGTGGAGCAGTGCCTTGTTTGGAGACCGCAGTGAGAACCCTGGCCCAGCTTGAGAACTCAGCGGCTGTGCAGAAGGCAGCCGACCACTACAGTGAGCAGATGGCCCATCGAGTGAGGCTGCCCACAGACACGCTCCAGGAGCTGCTGGACCTGCACGCAGCCTGTGAGAAGGAAGCCATTGAAATCTTCATGGAGGACTCCTTCAAGGATGAAAACCAGGAGTTCCAGAAGAATCTTGTGGTATTTTCTCTTAGCACTTAATTACCCTCTGTTAACCTTCACCTTGAAGAATTAAAGCTTAGCAGTGCTTTCATTGGCCCTATGGCTCCTCTTTCACTCATGGATCAAGTAGCCTGGATCTCATGGGGATAGAGTTAGTTTCAAAGGCCCATGTCCTCCCACCCACCTCCACCACACACAAACTCAGGTTCTTTATCCAGAAATCTCTCTGATCTCTGATACATAACCAGTAGAGAGATCCTCTTGAAATGAATACTTCTATTGATTTTAAGCTTAGCCAGAACACCCAAAAGTCAGTCCTGAGCTGGTTAATTTTTTGAGAACACTCTCCCATTCCCAGGAACCAAGTTTTTTTATCAGACCCTAACTCCAGGCCCTTTTCAACTTCTATTGCTTATTGTTCTATCATTGTATCAATGAAGATAGAATCACTGAATGCTACAAGCTACAATATACCATAGAGATTATGTAATGCACAGCTTTTTCAGATAAATAAATTGAGACCCAGAGAGATGTGGTATATTAACACAATGGAATACTCTTCTGACATAAGAAAAGATGAAATAATGCCATTTGTGACAACATGGATGGATCTGGAGATTATTATGCTAAGTGAAATAAATCACACAGAAAAAGCTGAAAACCATATGACATCACTGATATGTAGTGTATAAAACTGAAAACAACAAAGGAAAAGACAAACAAATGAAGAAACAAAAACTCATACACGCAGAGAATAGTTTAGTGGTTACCAGAGTGTAAGAGTGGAGGCAGGTGGTAGATGAGGGTAAACGGATCAAATATATGGTGATGGAAAGAGAAGTGACTCTGGGTGGTGAACACACAATATGATATGTAGATGATATATTACAGAATTGTACACCTGAAACCTATGTAACTCTACTAAAAATTGTCACCCAATAAACTTTAATCAAAACCAAGAAACTTCCATAGTCCTGTAGAGAGTTTTTATGTTGCAGAGTAAATCAAACCTGGTGATTCCTACTTTATTCATGTCTTTCTCCAACAGAATGCTTTTCTCATGAGGACCACAGTTAGACTTCTTTCTATCAGATTCTTCAGAATTTTATCTTCCCTGTTCCTTTCTTCTGGTGACATCCTTCTACTTTTCTTTGTAGGAAATCCTGAAGAATAAGAAAGAGAGTTTCTTGCTGCAGAACCAAGAGGCATCTGCTAAATACTGCCAGGCTAAACTTGATCAGCTTTCAATGGCCCTAATAGAAAGTATTTCAGCAGGAACATTCTCTGTTTCTGGCGGTCACACGCTTTACTTGGAAACAAAGGAAAGGATTGAACGAGACTATTGGCAAGTACCCAGGAAAGGAGTGAAGGTGAGGAAAAACGGGGAGCATGGGGATCCTACAGATTAAAATCAATGGGGGTGGTCTCCTGAAAATCTGAGAGGACAGCACCAATTGTGTGTCATAAGAGCATGGGGATATCATGACAGATTTAGCTTTGACGGTCCACTATTTGCTTTTTCTTCCTAAGTGAAATAGATATGTTCCCAAAAAACCACGCCTTTCTGAAATCCACAGAGACAGTAGAGAAGTTATTAATTTTGTCATTCAACAACATGACATTCAATGTGCCAAGAGTTGACAATTTACAAATTAAAGTCAGAGCCTGTGCACTCAAGGCTCATCAAATGAGAAAGGAAGTCTACTATACAGATAACACATACAGAGCTATAACACTTATGAACTTGAGAAATGCACTAAAAACATGGTGATAACACAATAATAATAAAAACAATAGTGATAATAATGCAGCCAATATATATCGAACCATTGTTGTTATAGGCATAATGTTAAGTTCTTTTCTAGACAATTGAATTTAATCCTTCACATAGTATTAAGATACATCTACACTTATTGTCAACATTTTCCACATCTTAACTGACAGGCAGAGATGGGTTAAACAGCTTGTCTGAAGTCATAGCCACCATGTGGCGGAGGAGAACAGCATCACCAGAGACATCATTTCACATTGGGAAGGAAAATATTTAAAAGCACCCAAGACTGTGGGTGTGTAGAATGGATCATGGTTCTCACTGGCTGGAACCTGGAGTGGGTAGACGAAAGTGGCATTGGAGAGAGACGGGAGGGAGTCAGGAAGCAGGGGACATGGGCAGCCTG